CGATATTGAGTAGATATCAAAAAATAAAGTAAAATACCGGTGAAAAGCGGGATTATTCCCGAAGGGGGAATACCACCGACTGACAGTAAAATTCAGAGTCTTAAATCCCATGCACGTTCCTGGTTATTTCTTTTTACATATTTATCTGTTTGCTTCATGGCAACTCGTGGGGTTTTGGTGTTGTTTTTTTTTTTGTGTGATGTTGGCTGGCAACGGCGTGTCTGTGTCTACGTTGTGTATCTGTGCCTGTGTGTTGTTTTTGACAGGTATCAGAGAAGAATCAGTGGGGAGAAATTGTAGAGGAGTTTAACTTTCCCAGAAGTTGTTCTAACGCTGCCTTCGCTTTAAAACAGTATTACTTGCGGTGAGTGCTATCAAGCTGTTGCAGTGGTATTTTTGAGTGTGGGATTATATTTGGTGTTCGGTGTGTGCAATAATAAAAATACCCCTGCTCTTTAAAAATGCTATAAAATAAACCAGGAAGAACTTGTAATTCCTTACTGGTCTGGGGCAGTGATCAGTTAAAGGTGATTCTGTTCTGTAGTTATTTTATTTGCATTTTACATCTGCCAGCCTTAAACTTTGAAGTGATCTCAAGTATATAAACAATATATTGTCAGAGCCATTTTTATCGATCGTTGTAGAATTACTGTACTAAAGGACTGTTACTAAGAGGTCATGTTATTGTAGTTACAGAAACTTAGCTTAATTTTTGGAGCACTGAAATGTGTTGATACGTGTAAACTTGTTTACTTCTCAGTGGGGTCAGGCATTGAATGAAAATGCATCTGCAGGAAGGTAGATTTCTGTGGATTAGTTATATTGTTATCAATTACTAGCAGCATACTTTTTATTTTAGAGTACAAAGAGCTAAATAATTTCTTGAAAAATAGTAGATTATTGGCAGTTTTTAAAAATAAGATTGCGTTCCTTGAAATGATACAGATTATTTTTTGTGATTATGATATGCAGATTATTTTTTAGTGTAGCATGGAGTTTATACTGAATATTTTAAATTACTGTATGTGGTACTGTTCGGTTACTAGATGACTTCTAAAAAAATAATCTTTATTGACTTTTGATGATTATTCTTTGTGTGAAAGATTTGAAAGTTATTGTGCATGTAGTGTTTTATATGCTATATATAGACAATTATATTTCATTCAGAATAAAGTTTTGTGTGTGTAGATTAAGGAATTTAATTTTCTGTTTCTGAATGGTATAAATGATATTTTTCACTGCAGTTAATGATAATATAGATATGAAATGCGAACAAAAGATGTATGGGCTTTTGGACTTCTGTTTTGGTGATCTGAGTGCACACAAGCTTTATCTGTGTCTAGTTTGGCCTGCTGAATTAGGAAATGCAGTAATTGTACAGGTGCACTTTCTATTGGTTGTCCTAGATTGACTTCCAGCTTGAAGCTGCAGAGTTCATAGCACAGTGGAGTAGTTATTGAGTTACAGTGATGTCTGGAAAACCTTAGTCAGATCTCTGTAGTTACTGAATTTTTCTTTTTTTGGTGGTGACATATGATTGCTTGAAGATCCAGGCTAAGAAAAGGAATTACCATTTTTAACAGCTTTAGCAAAGTTTATGATTGCTAGCAGGCCTAGAAATGAAGTGGGAAGTTCGTTTTAGGATGTCCTTATCTGTTTGGTTGTTTGTTTGTTTGTTTTTTTTTCCCCTCTACTACATGGTATTGAGGTAGTGTTGCTGAAAATTTGTTGGGTCATAGAAAGCAGTTTTTTGCTTTTTGAGTTTTTCTGTTGGACCATGTAGTCTATTACTTGACTAGATTTTACATATTATTTACAAAATGATAGTTTTTTGGCTTTTACCCTTTCCTTTTCATTTCCATATTTTAGAAGTGTTTGAATGGCCTAACTTTTTGCAGTAGAAGGTTGTGTCTTTTGTGTTTACATCTGTATTTTGAAAGCGTTTATATGCTGTGACAGTTAACACAATTAATGTTAATTTATGCTTCTAATGACTATTAGTTTTTAATCAGATACTACTTTTTAATTTGGAATCAGACATACAAAAATGTTATTTTTATTATTAGCGTGCTGGTATTGACATTATTTAAAATACAGTTGCTGAAAATATGTATAAATGATAGCATACAAAGAAGTGAAATGTTTTTTGTTTATTTGGACTTTAGAAAAAAGTTGATATACAGTTAAGATGAAAAATCTTTTAAAATGTCTGTTTTATCATAATCTCTGTGATTTACTTAGGCCATTCTGAAATGAACTGTCAAGGTTGTTGGTTTCGGGGTGGATTGGGTTTTGGTGGATGATTTTTTTTTTTTTTTTTTTTTTTTTTTTTAATTTTTTCTTTTTTTCCCTTTTTCT